GCCAAGCCTCCGCCACACGCTGGCCATCCTCCGTCTCCACGATGGTGCCAGTGGATCTAATGGGTGGCAAATCTGGCGCAAAGCGAAGACGCAGTAAGGTTCGTTGCTACAGCTACAACTGCAAGGTTTGGATATTCTTGTTTCTGTTGAACGTCACAGCTTGACAAGCCAGAACCGTTACATGCCACATCATGCAACAATGTTGGAGTTACCCATGTTGCCACAAGCAATAGATTGTGCCACCAGTGGGTTCCTGATGATGGAGATAGTGGCTTGATTACCCACTGCACACATCACGAGTTAGCCAAACTGCCTTCTGATTTTTGGGGAGGAATTGTCAGTGCTGCGTTTTTGCTCTTTGTTGCCTTGATGCCTCGGGTAGCTGCTGTATGATTTCTATTGAGTCACCGATGCGCCAGCGATCGGAGAGACGTTTTGATGACTTCAGTGCGACCACGGATGGTACCAGAGACGAAAATCCTCGCCTATCGTGCTACAGTGCAGATGCTCCGGGTCACTCGCCTCAGACACCGAGTGTTATAGCAGGCATCGCAGGACGACCATAGCATGCGCCAGGCGAATGGCAGGCTCAGGCACTTCCTGAGCACGGAGCCCTCAATGCGTAGCAGAAATGTGACGTTATCACCCTGCTACCGTAGCTAGAGGCTGTGGAAGCCCTGGCTAGAACCATCAGGCGTGGAGTGCTGCATGAAAGCAGTTTCCAGCAAACTCTGATGGGAGTGCTTTCAGCCACAGGACACCCCCAAGGCAACACTTCACCACGCCAGTAAGCCTAAGCGGCACGAGCTTGTTGCTCCCATGAGGCCCCCGCAACCAAGTGGTGGGACCAACCACCAGTCCTGCCAAGCAAAACGTTGCGCTCGTCCACAGGAAGACGAGCAACAAATACGCCGCAGCCTCAGCCGCGACAGCCCAACCAGAGTTTCAAGCCAGAACAAAGCAGCGGCAGTACTTCAATGCGCAGCCAGAAAGCACGGCCAATCGTGCCGAGCAGGTGTATGACTTCATTGGCAGTGCGTGGACCATGGCTGCCAAACTCAGACCATGCCTAAGCGCTCGGCACCAACATTCCGGTCACCTTGCTATGGTGAGGATGCAAGGAGCAAGACAGCAAACCGCTGACCACTGCGTGGATCCGCTCGCGCGTGAAAAAGGATGGCCAGTCCACTCTGGCGCGGATCACCTTCTAGCAGCTTGTTTCCTTTCCTCTTCGGGACTTATCCTGATGCCGGCGAAAAAGGTAGGGCAGAAGGGGATGATCACAAAGTGTACTTGCGAGTCACCGTTCCCGAAGCCGATCGCAAGATCTTCAACGGTGATGGGAAGATGGACACACCCAGCAAGAGCATCCAGGAGTTGAAGAGCTGGCAAATCCTCACTTTGGGGCACTTTACATGTGGCTTGTGGAAAAGACCCAGGGGAACGAATTGGTTTGGATGTGATGAGGACACAGAATTCCCATACAAGGTGTTCCGTGCCTTGATGCCCCTGCAAAGGTATTGATGCATGGAACATCAACAGACCATCTGGTCTGCATGATGAAAAATAGAAGAAGGGAATTCAAGGAAATTCATGTGAGTGGCAGTGCCAGCCTAGTCGAGTAGAAAAGTCAAGGGTGAAGTGCCGCTTCATGGGTTCCTCACAGGGCTGAACTACTTCGTGGGTCTGTACTTGGGAGTAGGAACGGTTGCCCTGGTTGAGGTACTGCTGTCAGATGGGCTAATTAAGTTATGTGTTGCTCACTTGTTGTTGGCTTTTGTCATGAGCCCTGTCTGACAGCTATGCCTGCTGAGCGAATCGGCTGAGTAGGCTGTTAATGAGTCGTCGGAACCAGTATCGACGCAGACCTTGCCACGCTTGTCCGAGTGTGAGTGTCAACAAAAGTCAAGAGGCCGGACTCGGCAGCAAGTCCGTCAAGGGCAAATCCCGCGACTGCAGGTTAGTAAAATTTAGTAGGCCTGAACGCGTCACATGGTGTGTTGTTTCTGGGATCATGTGATGGCGTTGAGGTGTAGAGAAATGCTGTATGAGCGGAAACGAACTGCCGTGGTCACAAATTTTGCATGCGCGTCCGGAACTCATGCTGAGCCAGGGAGCATCCACGCCCAGAGGAACGGGGGGCTCCATCGGTGCTGAATCTGAGGAAGTCGAGAGCTTGAGATCTCCGTGGTCATGCATCGCAAGAATAAAGAGGCAAGACGGGTTTTTTTGGAAGAAGCTACTGCTTTCTTCAATTATGTCGCATGAGGCTCTGTTGTGGTAGCTTGTTGTGTGGGGGCGTGTGTGTGTGTGGGTGTTTGCCTGCCTTGCCTGCCTGCCTGACTGCCTGCCTGCCTACTGACTGGTACCTACATACTATTATAGTTACAAGTACATAGCTGTTACACACATACATGCATGCATGCATGCATGCATGTGCAAACACACACACACACACAAACGAACGAAAACACGCACTTGCTTGCAGACGCACAGGCACATTAACAAGGTAACAATCAATCAAACCTAATTGCTTACTTGCCTGCCTGCGTTCTCACATACATACACCTACATATATGCATGCATGCATACAAACTTCCATACAGACAAACAAGTAATCAAGCACACAAAAACACACACACACAGAAACGAGCACACTGATCCGCATGCATGCAAGCTTGCATACATACGTACATGCATGCATACATACATACACAAGCATACATACATACATACATACATACATACGTACGTACGTACGTACGTACATACATACATCCATCCATCCATCCATCCATCCATCCATCCATCCATCCATCCATGCATGCATGCATGCATGCATGCATGCATGCATGCTTGCGCTTGCACTTGCACTTGCACTTGCACTTGCGCGTGCATCTACACTTGCACATGCACCTACGAACAAGCACACGCACACGCACACACACCATCACAAACATCATATATAGCAGGGGCCCAAAAGTTGGAAACCCAATAGCCTCAATCCTTAAGAGTACTGCATAGGGAATCCGGGCACGATTTGTCCCTACTCCGGTTTCCAACTTGTTGGGTTTTCTATACGTGTACATGCATACATGCAAATCATGCAAGCATGCATTCACACATGCATACATGGCTCCATACATTACTACATAGCCTTTATTTTAGTTGCTGTACCTAGATCAGAGCATGCACGCGAGTGAGATCTCGTCTGGCTTGTCCGAGTTGTGAGAG